CGTGATAATAGTTGCAGTAAAATGAAATTTCAAATGGCTATATAAAGAGAACTTCTTGTTACTACTTTTTCATTTCTTTTCAAAATCTTGGAAATGAGCTCGCTTTCCGTTATTTCTCTCCTCACCGGATTTCTCACGGCGATGGTTGTGATTTCTGAATTTCCCTCCTCCTCCAGCTCTAACGGCGACGATCCACCCAAGAAACCTCAACAATCCCAGAAGAAACCTCAAGAAGAGGAAGATAAATCGAAGCAAATCATTACCCAACAAGAGAATCATCTTTCGTTTTTTTCCCCAATTCCACAAGAACTCATCGAAGCTTGCCTCTCACTAATCCCCAGACGTGATTACCCAACGATATCTCTCGTCTCCAGATACTTCCGTCGTCTCATCGCTTCTTCTTCACTCTACCAGCATCGTTCACTCCTCAACATCACCGACTCTGTTCTTTACGCGTTCGTCGGATTCCCTCCTTTCGATTACCCAAGATGGTTCATTCTTCATCGGAATCGTAACCAATCCAACTCTTTACAACTCCGCATAATCGATACGCTTCAACACTTTCCATTCGGATCTGCTCTTGTCACAATCGGACAAAAGATGTATGTACTCGGTGGATGCGACGGTTACAGAGAGCGTACAAATGGAGTGTTTCTAATGGATTGCAGAACTCACAGACGGAGGGAGCTTCGACATATGCGAGGGGCACGTTACCGAGCAGCCGTCGGAGTAATCGACGGAAAGATTTACGTAATCGGAGGTCGAGAGAAACGATATCCGGATTGGGTTGAAGTGTTGGATTTAAAGACTGGGATTTGGAGTTCTTTGATTGGTCCGTTTCCTTTAGGTGCTCGTGAAGGAGAGTTTGAGACATACGTTGTGATGCAACAGAAGATTTACCTTCTGGATTATAGTTCTTGTTTGTCTTACGAACCCAGAACACGTAACTGGGAATCTTGCGGTATGTTGAGAGAATTCTGGCAAAGATCGTCTTGTGTGGTGGATGATATGTTGTATACTATTGATCCTCAATTTAGGCTTGGAAGTTTGGTAATCGTGTATGATCCAAGGGAGATGAATTGGAGATCTGTGAATGTTGTAGGTGATTTGCCTCATCTCTTTTATTATGATTCGAAAATGGCCAATTTCGGTGGAAAGTTGGTGATTTTGGGTACTAGTCAGGGACGGTATACTCCCGGGATAAAAGATATCTGCTGCGTAGTGATCGCTTTGGAAAAACGTGAAAATGGTGAGATTCGGGGGAATGTCGAATTAGTCGAGTGTGTGCTTACAGCCCTGAGTTCGCCTTCCATCGAGCTTTGTCGTACTATTACGTTTTGATGCTTCGTGGGATGGTTTCTTCAAGGTATGTTGTTTCTGTGTGTTTGATGATGAATTATATGATGTTTACTGTTTAGACATTTTCTTTGTTCTCAAGGCTTAGTTGGAATTTTCATGAACTTGCAGGTGAAGGATCTTCTTTATTACATTTACCATTTTAGCTGCTTGTTGATCTGAGAGCCAATATGTAGCAAAGGGCCTCAGAAGGTGTTTATCTGACGCCACAAGAGAGTAAATAGTCCTTCTGACCACTTGTGCATAGTGTGAATACTCTTACAGAATTAGACTTGAGTAGACCATTATACAAAAACAGTTACAAAACTTGTAGCAATGCATCTTTAGTGGCTAAGAAGCTGTGTATCTTACACCTCAAGAGTAAATATAATAGTCCTTGTTAACATTTGTGTATAATATTCTTACAGAATTACACTTGAGGTTGAAATGCATCTTTATGGTTAGCTATGTTTTGGGTTTTTGTGTAGTTACTAAAACATATTATGTTTGCTTTTTAGATATATAACTCCCGTGTGTAAAGTAATCATAATCAGATATAACAAACCCCAAAGTGCTTCTACTATGAAATCTTGGTTTTAGAGATGAAACAGAACAAACCGGTCGTGGTTTTGACCTTTTTGTGTAACTACAATACAATACTAAAGTGAGAAAGTACAAAGACCTGAAGCATCAATATAGAACGGAATACACAAAGAGCAGAGCAGAGCATGTTATTAACTAACTTATTATGTATGTAAACCATTTGTATCTTATGAAAAGACCCCATTGTGCTTCAAGTATATCATATCATATGAGCAATATGAAATCTTGGTTCAGTGATGTGAAGATGGTCTCTGGTAGCAAAACCAACCGGTGGTTGTGATTTTCTTAACAGTGCTTACTGATTACAAATACCCGAAATGAGTTTCTTACAAGCTTTTTTGATATTTTCTGAAATCAAAATCTAGTTATGGACATGCCCTTTTCTTCTAAATTAAAGCATTTAAAACACGAGCGCATGCATCATTATCCTTCGAAGTAACGAATCTCAACCTCCTTATCGATCTTTCTGCCGGCGAGTTAAAAAACGATAGATCGAAATTGATACAATGACAAAACAGAAAACCAATCAATAACCAGAAGAGATTAACATAAAAGGAACAAAGAAGGAATCATCAAGTAACAAAGGGAAGATCTCTGCGTGTAAAACGGACCTCTGTACTGATAACCTCACCAATGTTGAAGACCTGAAAGAAACTTCCGACGACGGCTCTAATGGCGACGATCCAACCGACCGAGAAAATAAGAGAATCAAAACAAGAAACTGAAAGGATTGGTGGTGACGTCTCTACCGATTCCAGACGAACTCACCATAAGATAATAGATGCCTCGCGGAGATGAAAAATCGCCCTTGCCTCCCGATATCTCATCGCTTCGCCGCTGCTCGCTCGATCCAAGGCGAATTCCCTGTTTACATAAGCCCTGATGGTACGTACATTCTCCATCGTAAACCCAACAAGAAGACGATTCAATTGCGATTTGGCAAAATCAAATCGCTCCCGGGAATGAATGTCGCTCCGAGGAGTAATTGACGGGAAGATGTATGTAATCGGCGGTTGCGAGATGGAAAGCAGGTGATTTTTGGTGCTGATAAGAGTGGGTTTAAGAGAAACAAGAGATTTGGTGCGTAGAGATCGGTTTGGAAAGACGACGCCTAGGACTAGGAGAGTGAGGTTTCGGGGAAAGTCGAATCAGTCGCGGTTGAGCATCATTAGCCATATATTTGGTAGCTATTATTAGATATAAAATCATTAAAATTTAAATAAAAAAAAGAAAAAGAGTGTTTTTGGTTGAAATAATGGAGTGTATTAAAATATAAAATTAATAAAATTTGAATAAAAATAAGAGATGAGTTGATACTTTTGGAGAGAGTGTGTCTTTGTATCAATGGATTGATACTTTTGGAAAGAATTTAAACTTTAGTTGGGTGTGTTTAAATATAAAATTAATAAAAATTAAATAAAAACATGAAAGAAAATATATAAAGTTGAGTAAAAAAAAGAAAGAATATGTGTTTTAATAATTTTATATCTAATGATAGCCACCAAATCTCAGTAATAATGAAAC